AAAAAATGACCAGGGGCAATGGCTCATGCTTGTAATCCTAGCATTTTGGGAGGCTAAAGTGGGAAGATCTCTTGAGACCAGGAGTTCGAGACTGCAGTGAGCTATGATCATGCCACTGCCCTGCAGCCTAGGTGACAGAGCAAGAAAAAAAAAAAAAAAAAAAAAAAAAAAAAAAGCTTATAGAATAAGGATATAAAGAAAATAGTTTTTTTATAGCTGTACAATGTTTGTATTATAAGCTGTTACCAAACAGTTAAAAAAATTAGAAGTTCATAAAGTTACAGCAAGCTAATTTATTATTGAAAAAGGAAACACTTTAAATTTAGTGTAGCTTACGTGTGCAGTGTTTATATATAAAGTCTATAGTAGTGTACAGTAACACCCTAGACCCTCACATTCACACACCAGTCACTCATTGATTCACCCAGAGCATTTTCCAGTCCTGAAAGCTCCATTCATAATAAGCACCCTATACAGGTGTGCCCTTTTAAATCTTTTTACACCACTTTTTTAACCATACCTTTTCTATGTTTAGATACACGAGTACTTAGCATTGTGTTACAATTATCTACAGTACTGAGTACAGTAACATGCTGTGCAGGTTTGTAGCCCAGGAGCAATACACTATATCACGTAGCCTAGATGTGTAGTAGGCTATACCATGTAGGGTGTAATATATTACATTCTATGATGTTTGCACAACAATGGAATCGCCTAATGACACACTCCTCAGAATAAATTTCTTCATTAAGTGACGCATGACTGTATTTGTGGAAACATATTCTTTTTTTTTTTTGAGACAGAGTCTCGCTCTGTCACCCAGGCTGGAGTGCTGTGGTGCTATCTCAGCTCACTGCAACCTCTGCCTCCCAGGTTCAAGTGATTGTTGTGCCTCAGCCTCCCAAGTAGCTGGGACTACAGGCACGTGACATCACGACTGGCTAACTTTTGTATTTTTAGTAGAGATGGGGTTTCACTATATTGCCCAGGCTGGTCTCGAACTCCTGAGCTCGTGATCCACCCATCTCGGCCTCCCAAAATGCTGCAATTACAAGTGTGAGCCACTGCACCCGGCTGGGAAAATATATTCTTTTCTATGTCTAGAAAGTTTCTAAGAACTCAAAGCAATGCTTACTTCTAGGGAGGTGGGAGGAAGACTTTCATTTTCAACCAATCCCTCCTTTTCTACAGTGGTTTTTTTTTCCTTTTGCCACAAGCAAAAAAAAAAAAAACTTTTTTTTTTTCGCATTCACTAATATATGGGAAGGCATCTCTCTCCTTGTTTTTCCGCAGACAATAATAGTTGTAGCAGGAAGCTTTTAATATTATAACTGTACAGCATATTTCAGGTTTTTAAATATTTTCACATTTTCTTATAACTGTTGTAAATTATAACTAAAATGACCTTACCATGTTTTCAAACAACATGTACAGAACATCCACATTGTGCTAGTTACTTCAGATAACAAGATGCACAGGACTGACTCAGCCCCTGTCTTGTGGAGTCTACAACTGAGTTAGGAGTCAGCATCCACTACTGAGCACCTACTGTGTTCTAGGCACTGTTGTAGGTGAAAACAGTCGTGAATATAGGAGTGTCTCTCCCTAAAAAGCAAGTTGCTTGCCTAGAAAAAAGGCTTAGGCCAGGTGCAGACACTCATGCCTGTAATCCTAGCACTTTGGGAGGCCAAGACGGGCAGATCACAAGGTCAGTAGTTCGAGACCAGCCTGGCCAATATGGTGAAACCTCCACCTCTACTAAAAATACAAAATTAGCCAGGCATGGTGGCACGCACCTGTAATCCTAACTACTTGGGAGGCTGAGGCTGGAGAATTGCTTGAACCTGGGAGGCAGAGGTTGCAGTGAGTCAAGATTGCACCACTGCACTCCAGAGTGAGACTCCATCTCAAAAAAAAAAAAAGAGAAAAAGGTTTAATACATGTTTAATGTATATTATTAAATTTGTTGGAGAAGTCCTCTCTAAAAAAGTAAAATTTGAATTGGAACCTGAAGTTGAAAAGGAGTTAGCCATTCAAAGATCTGGGAAGATAGAGTTTCAAGCTGAAGGAACCTCAAGTGCAAAGGCCCTGAGGCTAGAAACAGCTTAGCCTGTTTGAGGGCTGAAAGGGAAATGGATCACAGTGAATGAGTAGGTGAGAGAAGGAAAGAGATGAGGTCAGAGAAATTGGTAGGAGTCACATCACGTGGGCTCTCCAACACCATGTAAAGAGTTTGACTTTTATTCTAAAATGTAGATATTAAGCATAGATACGACATGCTCTGATTTATGGGTTTAAAAGGCCACTCTGGCTGCTGGGGAGGCTGTTGGGGGTAGAGTGGAAGTGGAAAGACCAGGTGGGACGCAGGTGAAGGATAATGATGGATTAGCTTAGGACTGTAGAAGTAGAAACGGTGGAAAAAAGGTTGACTTGGGGATATACTTTGGAGAATAAGGTTGACAGGGCTTGATAATGAATTGCATGTGGTGGCTGGGAGTGGGTAGGGAAGACAGTTATCACGGATGAAGACCAGATTTTTGGTCTGAGCACCTGGGTAGATTGTGGGGCCATAAACTAAGATGCGGGAAAACTGGGAGAGGAGCAGTTTGCAGGGGGGAAGGAGGTCCAAAGAGAAATCAATTGTTCTCTTTCACCATATTAAGTTTCAAAGGCTTGTTACATATTCAGGTGAAGATATTGCTTAGGCAATTGGCTAACTCTATAGCTAAGGGGAGAGGTCCAGGCTGAAGGTATTTCAAAACAAGGGCCAAGATGAAACCACCTGATGACTACGAGTAGCTATAGGAAGAGAGAAGGCAGAAGATTGCATGTTTAACTACTACGAAGCGAGTTATGTGCTGTGAAAGGGGAAATACCAGGTTATTGGAGGGAGAAGCTGGTCAAGGAAAGTTTCTTGGAAACATTAAACCCAAGCTCTTAGAAGCCACTGAAAACCAGGCAGTGACACTGTATTAGTGAGGATGCTGTCCCAGACAAGTAATTTGTAATTGGTCGTAGAGCTAGTGGCCTGACTAGAACTGTGTTTTATACTTGAACTAAATCAAATGTGCCACAGGCACATTTAAAACAGAGGAGATTATTTATAATATTATTATATTTATTATAATAAACTCCTGTTTATCATAAAACAGAGGAGAAGAGCTGGGCGTGATGGCTCACATGTAATCCCAGCACTTTGCGACACCGAACCAGGAGGAATTACTTGAGCCCAGGAGTTCAAGACCAGCCCTGGCAACATAGGGAGAACATATCTGTACAAAAATAAAATAAAATATCAGCTGGGAAGCAGTGGTGTGTGTCTGTGGTCCCAGCTACTCAAGAGACTGAGGTGGAAGGATCTCTTGAGCTCGGGAGGTTGAGGCTGCAGTGAGCCGTGTTTGTGCTACTGCACTCCAGCCTGGATGACAGTGTATTCCCCTCCTTTAAAACAAAAAAAGAGGGGAATAGTGCCACACCCTGGGATACAGGCTCTGGAGTCATTCTGTCTGAGGTCACATTCTGGATTTGCCATTTACTACCGGCTGGGTGATTCCAGGTGCATTACTCAACATCTCTGTACTTCAGTTTTCTATCTGTAAACGCACTTTCTACTAATAGCTAACGGTTTACAGACTGTTTATCATGATCCTGGTACTAAGATTTTACACACAGGGCCAGAGGCGGTGTCTCACACCTGTCATCCCAGCACTTTGGGAGGCTGAGGCGGGCGGATCACGAGGTCAGGAGATCGAGACCATCCTGGCTAACACGGTGAAACCCCGTCTCTACTAAAAATACAAAAAATTAGCCGGGCATGGTGGTGGGCGCCTGTAGTCCCAGCTACTCGGGAGGCTGAGGCAGGAGAATGGCGTGAACCCGGGAGGCGGAGCTTGCAGTGAGCAGAGATTACTCCACTGCACTCCAGCCTGGGCGACAGAGCGAGACTCCGCCTCAAAAAAAAAAAAAAAAAAAAAATTTTACATGCAATATTCAACTCCCCCCTCCAATAATCAATGAGTGACATTATTATTTTCATTTTACTGCTGAGGATCCGGAAGCACATTCACCCATTCCACAAATATTTACTGTGCACCTGCAATGTGCCAGGCATGTTCATGGGGGAACACAGCAAAATCTTTGCCTCTGTGCAGCTTCAGTCTGGGGTTTACAGGAAAAGGAGAAAGATGATAAACAAGAGATATGTACATTACACGGTAATTAAAAGGGGATACCTGCTATACAAGAAAAACAGAGCAGGATAAGACAGATAGGAAGTTGCGATTTTAAGTAAGGCAGCCACAGCAGACCTCACCAAGAAGGCAACATCTGAGCAAGGATGTTAAGGAGGGCAGCCGGGACAAGTGCAAAGGCAGGCCCTGAGGTGGGGGCAGCCTATAATCCACCCGTGGGGAGAGTAAGGCGACTCGGAGAAAGGCGAGGGACTAATACATCCGTTCTAATAACTCTGACTTTAACTCGGGGCTAGATGGGGAAACACCGGACAGTTGTACCCCGAGGTGCGACAGAACTTGACATTCGTTTTAAATCGGTCCATCTGTTTAGGCCCAAGGACCCAAGGCTAGTGAGAGAAAACAAAATTTGAAACGGGCAGTCCGGCTCAGTAGTCTGTGCTGTCGGGATTAAAGAATCAGTCGATACCCCCAGGGCTGAGCCCCGCAGCCAGTGCCCCGCGGGTGCTGGCCCCTAACTGTGGTTACCGCCATCCTTTCACTTAAACTCCGCCCCGATTACTCCCCCGCTCCAGGGCTCCGCATCCACTCTGCCGGGTCTCCACGTAGCGCTTCCCGGGCTACATATTGCGTAACTTCGGCAGTCAGGCGGAGTCTGCAGACGCGGAGAGGCGGCGGGCGGAGAGAACGCCCCAGCAATAGTCGCTAGGAGGAAACCCCGAGAGCCCCTGCCGCCCACGTAACGCGCCTGCGCAATCCGGGTCCAGGCCGCCGACATTCCAGAGCCGCTTTCCGCCCCGCCCCCAATTCCGGGGCGGAGTCGTCTGCCGCGCCTGCGCAAAGCGTCGCCGCACCCCCACGCCTGCGCGCTCCGCCCGCCCGGCCCCATCCCCCCAGGTTTTTCGCGTGGGGGAGGGGGCACGTCTCGGCGAGTCACGATGATGGCGGCCACCATCCTGTGGTGAGCTAGCGGATTCCCTGCTTGTCTCGCCGAGCCCCTTGCGTCTCCTGCACACTCAGTGGCTGGAGCTCGGCGCGTGAGGAAGCACGGCGGCCCGAGCTCGCGGGGAAGGCCGCAGTCGCGGAGGCAGCGGCGCGGTCCAGGGCACGGGCTGGGGGAGAGGCCGCTCCGCTGGGCGAATGTGACAAGCCCCCACCCCCACCGCCTTCCTCCCCAGAGCGCGAGGAGCGCGGGCGACCCCGGGGCCCCGCCAGGCCACAGACCCCGCCCAGCGGCCAGCACCCGGCGCAAGCCCGGCAGCAGAGCTGCGCGGCGGCACCATGCAGGTCACCCTGAAGACCCTCCAGCAGCAGACCTTCAAGATAGACATCGATCCCGAGGAGACGGTATGCGCGCGGGCAGGGGGCAGGGGCGGCCGCGTGCGGGCCGCGGGGAGCGCCAGTAGCTCGCGGGGCCGGCGGCGCGCTCCAGCGGGGGAAGCCCCGGAGGGCGCGTTGGGCCCTGAGTCCCGGTGCCGGCCCTGGCCGTGGCGGCGTACAGCGGAGCCAACTCTCCTGGCTTGGCCACGGGCTTTGTGGCAGGAGAAAGGGGAAGCAGTGGCCGGACGCCGAAGGCCTGGTGGCAGATGGCGTGGAGCGCACGCCCGCGGGCCTGGGCCTAGGAGCTCGTGCTAGCGGGGCCGGAGGGGGATGGGGAGGTCCAGGCCGTCTCGGCAGTGGGGCCTGGCTTTCTGGTGTGGGTGCACAGGTGGGGGAGGGAGACGTAGGCGTCGCCACTACCCATGTGTGGACCTGGTTAGGCGCTTAGGTCCCAGAGTTGGTAACCCGAGAAGATGAGCCTTAAAAAAAAAGTATCAGGTTCCATTTGCCGCCGAGTGAGAGGTGAGTAGTGGTGAAAATGAATTTACCCCTTTCCCCTCAGAATTGTTAACCCTTTTATTTGCAAATGAACCGTTCTGCTGCCTTCCTCCCGCCACCAAACCCACACCCTTGCGTAGATTGCGCTTTGAGGCCTCTTTAGTGTTGGTTTTAGCGTTAGAACCCTTCAAATCCATCCAGGCTCAAACTAAACTTAAGATTTAACGGGTTTTCTGCATTAGAAATCTTGGAATTGTAGGAGTTGGAACCCTGCACCCACCCTCCCCCGATCCCCCAAACAGTAGCGGTTCAAGGGGGAAAAAGAAAAAAAAACAAACTTTGAATCCCTTCTGCAGTTAAAGCCTTAAACATTTCAGAAGTCCACATTATACATTTTTCTGTATTTGTGACTGCATAAAGAGACACTGTTGAGGTCAGTACAACTTTATGCCAAGAAGCTAAAAACGCCGTGTGAATTTACTGCTTATGTTCGGGAATACACCGCTAAGATTGTCATAACGCTAAGTTTAAACCAGCAGCTTTCTGCCCAACTCTATTTTTAAAAGTAGTTGATTCTATTTTGGGTGGAGATCAGGGGCTTTGGTGTTAATTAAGTAGACCTGAGTTCCATTTGTGGTTTTGTAACTTATTTGCTATGACCTTGGGCAAATTACGCTATCTTAGTTTCATCTTCTGTATAATAGGGATAATGCCTGCCTTGCAGAGATGTGAAGATTAAATGGTATGTGTTTACTTGGTGGTCAGTAAGTGGAATCGATTATTTAAACAATGGATTCCTTTAAGTGGAGATACAGTGTTACGTTTTACTTATCTCATTTAATCTTAAGTTTTGTACATCTTTAATTTTTTAAAAAACAACCTTTTTGGGATTTTGGTACAAAATTATTTGATTTCAGAATATATGTAGGTGTATGCTGTGTGATTGACTTCTTAAAGGAACAGTAGATCTAAATTATACATGAGAAACTTTTCAGTGTCCTCAGAAGTAATTGACAACACCCTGTGGACTGACAGCACTAATAGAATCAGATTCCTCTTGAGTATTTCTTTACTGCTTAATGTGTATTAATAAGTTGAAAGGTGAAAGTTAGAATGGAGTTTGATGATTTCAGACAAACTGTGTGAAATGCCTATTTGACTTTGGTTCTTTGTGGTAACAAATGTTGGTGCCACAGTAACTTAATCGGCTTATAATACTCAGTTAATTTCAGAATTATTGAAACCTAAACAAATATTGTGGCTTTTTGGTGAATATTTGTGGGCGTATTGAAGTTATGCAGTGACTCTTTCAACAGCTCCACTAAAGTATTTATGATCTGTAGGGTTTGTTTAGCGTTTTAGGTGCTTTACACATGCAGTGTTAACTGAGAGTCAATGCTGTACCTGTGTTTATATAAATTCTTAACTATTTTTGCTGTTTTCCAGTTTATTTTCAAGGAAAAGTAGTATGTTATACTTCGGGAAGTATATTTTTGAGAAGCCCATTGTTAGGGAGTGGCTTCTACAGCTTTTGCTGCTATTTACATAACATATAATTTTGTTTCTATTAGTATAAAAAAACTAATACTGTTAGTCTGGGGCACGAAATTAAAGCATTTCCCCTGGGATATATGGAACGTTTGCATTTAATGACTTGTCAGTTTTTATTTTAATGACTTTAGGAAATAGTTTTCATGACAACATTTTCAATTCTGTATTTGTAGTGTGTTTTATTTAATATTTGTTTTTGATACGACACTTTAGAGTTCCAGTAAGAAATACACAAAATTGTATTTAATAGAGCAACACTAAGTGTTCTGTTTGTAAGTTGTTGTGAGAACTAGGTAACCAAGGATATTAGAAATAGATCTAAAATAAAGACAAGATTGGATCTTACTGAGACCTGTATTTTGGTCGTCTCAGAGTTTTGTCCTTGTTTAAGAAGGAACCAAGGAAATTAAGTAACTTACGTAGCCAGTATAGAAGCTCTTGTGAGCTTGAGATGAGAATGAGCAAAAATGGAAGAAAGGACTGTGCGATAAGGGGAATCATGGGAGTGATTCATTTGTTGAACAAGTAAATGTTTAGTGAGCTTTGCTGGCAGGACTGGAGGAGTACAGGGACCTGTAGAATGTGACCTGGGGCTTCTGGGAGCCTTATTGACTTAGTCAAAGCTCAGTAGCTATAGAGTAGGGGATATATACCTTGGAAAAAGCAAGATAATTTGTTTTAAGGTGTTTTTATTTGCGCTAGTTTTAACAAAACTTTCTTAGACTTATTAGGCATTTTGTACCATTTACTTGACTATTACCGTGGTACATTACATGACCACTGCCTTTAGTGTTAACCTTTACAAAGGTCTTTATTTTTACAATTGTAATGCAAACCGTCTTATAAAATATTCAAACAATACAGAAACAAAATGAGAAGGTGGTATGTGTGGGGTAGGGAAATCATTGCTAGGAGATGTTCTTCATTGTGTGCTCTTTTTTTTTTTTCTTACTGTAAAAATTGTGGGAGACATTTAAGTAGCCTACATATTAAAGCATTTTGAGATGTCTAATAGACCACTGCTTCTCTGAAATTTTTTAAAATTCTGAAGTTTAGGCTGGGCGCGGTGGCTCTTGCCTGTAATCCCAGCACTTTGGGAGACCGAGGCGGGCAGATCACAAGGTCAGGAGATTGAGACCATCCTGGCTAACACAGTGAAACCTCGGCTCTACTAAAAAAATACAAAAAATTAGCCAGGTGTGGTGGCATGCTCCTCCCGAGTAGTCCCAGCTACTTGGGAGACTGAGGCAGGAGAATCGCTTGAACCCTGGAGGCAGAAGTTGCAGTGAGCTGAGATTGCGACATTGCACTGCAGCCTGGGCGACAGAGCGAGATTCTGTCTCAAAAAAAAAAAAAAAAAAAAAATTTTTTTTGAAGTTTAATGGTGTCGTGGACATTTAGAGGGAAATGGAATAGTTTTTAAGTTCAGTGTTATAGTCACTTAGTTTTTTATATTACTGTTGCTTGAAGCCATTAAGAAAGGTAGATTTAAGAATAAACCTTTTGAGATAAAAAATACAGTGCAATATTTTATTGCATCACTGAAATGGTGAAAAGAAAGAGTATGTGGTATACAAATTAATCCTGCAGTCTAACTCTTGACACTGTTTGCTTTGAACAACTAAAAACAAAACTCAATAAATTTGAGATGAGACTTTAAATGCAAAAGCTGAAATGTGATTGTATTACTATATAAGTGACATTAAAATTCTACATATACTTTGGATGTGTTTGCTAAGAGAATTGTGAAGATATCATTGTTTTAATATCTGTAAATAGCATATTAGTATGCTGTGAAGAATTTTGTGGTTTATCTCTATAATGTGATTATTATAAAATACTGCTTTACCCAGCACTTTGGGAGGCCGCGGCGGGTGGATCACCTGAGGTCAGGAGTTCAAGACCAGCCTGACCAACATGGTGAAACCTGGTCTCTACTAAAAATAGAAAATTAGCTGGGTATGGTGATGCATACCTGTAATCCCAGCCACTTGGGAGGCTGAGGCAGGAGAGTCACTTGAACCCAGCAGGAGGAGGTTGCGGTGTGCTGAGATGGCGCCATTGCACTCCAGCCTGGACAACAAGAGCGAAACTCCATCTCAAAAAAAGAAAAAAAAAGTGTGTGTATATTGCTTTAGTACTTGTTCTGTATTATAATACAGTATTTACTAGTCATTTATCAGTGAATTATTCATGTGGTGGTTTATTGTATTTTCAATATAGTCATGCTAGATACAATTTCATATTATAGAAGTTTCCTAGATTAAGGCAATAAGTAGTACATGTATTAAAAATACTGAATCACAGAGGTGAAATTAAGAGTTCTTGGCATATTGGTAGAACAAGATACAGGAAGAAACTGAGAAATCTGGTACACTTTTTGCCAGACTTTTGCTGTTTTGATGCCGGGCACACAGTAGGCATTTAGTAAAGATCTTTGAATGAATTGAATGTATTCTTTTGGTAAACTGGCAAGGCAGTGATCCCCCAATGTAGTGTGTTTGCATGTTGATTTATTTGTTTAATAAATACTTTCTGTGTACTTACTAGATGTCAGGCCCTGCTGTGGTGGTATGTGCATTCTAGTGGGATAAAACTGTCAAAAAACAAATTTTAAAAACCAGGTAATGGTGTAAGTGCTATGCAGAGAGTTGAAATAGGATAAAGTATTTGATAATACTTCACTGAGTGGCTACTTTTTTGTTTTGTTTTGTTTTGTTTTTGAGACTGAGTCTTATTCTGTAGCCTAAGCTGGAGTGCAGTGGTGCCATCTCGGCTCACCTTCAGCCCTGGGGCTCAAGCGATTCTCCTGCCTCAGCCTCCCAAGTAGCTGGGACTAGAGGTGTGCTCCATCACACGTGGTTAATTCCTTTGTATTTTTAGTAGAGATGGGGTTTCACCATGTTGCCCGGGTGGTCTCGAACTCCTGAACTCAGGAAATCTGGGTGGCTACTTTTAAATTTACTAGTCACTGAAGG